ACTCAGGTTCATCTTATTGACTTCGTATAACTCGCTATCTATGATTATGTAACGAGAAAAATTATATGAATTGATAAATTTACAATTTCTTTGTAAATTAGTGATCGTTTGGAAAGAGACTTTTTTAATAATTTTTTAACTAAAATATGAAGTGAAAAAAAATCATATGCTATATTTGAAAAGAATTTTTTGACATTTTACACACAAAAAAAAAAATGCAAAAATTAGAGTGAAAGGGAATGAATCTATATTTATTTATTTATTTATTTTTGGAATAAATTTTTAGTGTTTTGAATTTTTAATTTTTTAATTAAATTAACTTATTCCCAAACGGACCCTTGAAATTTGATGCAATATAAAAATGTACATGGACAAAAAAATATTCTTAAGAGTGGTCAAATGGGACACTATAAAAATTTGAAAAATATTATATATTATATTAAAAAATTAATAATTTAAAATTGTAGAGATTTGCACTCCCAAACATACTTTACTTCCCTAATGATAATCATAAGTCTATCCCTAACTAGTAGATTCATCCAATAATATGAGTTTCATCTAATATTATATCTAGTTAGTATATTAATTAATACGCTAGATTAATCTTACTCAGGTTCATCTTACTGACTTCGTGTAACCCGCTATCTATGATTATGTAACGAGAAAAATTATATGAATTGATAAATTTACAATTTCTTTATAAATTAGTGATCGCTTGGAAAGTGACTTTTTTAGTAATTTTTTAACTAAAATATGAAGTGAAAAAAAATCATGTGCTATGTTTGAAAAGAATTTTTTGACATTTTACACCCAAAAAAAAAAAAATGCAAAAATTAGAGTGAAAGGGAATGAATCTATATTTATTTACTTTTGGTATAAATTTTTAGTGTTTTGAATTTTTAATTTTTTAATTAAATTAACTTATTCTCAAACGGACCCTTGTGTCGTATACATATAATTTAGTCAACAAAGGACAAAGGGACGGCTCAAAAGAAAAGTAAATGGGAATGCCATAGAAGAAAAACCCAAACATATGAATCTCTCTCCCAGCCTTTCTTGAAATCAGGTTTGAGGCTATTGCCAAAACGATGTACAACTGTCTATTGCATAGAGCAACTATTTTCTAGTTTGAAGAAAGTGATTATCTCCCTTTGGCAACAATAAGGTTGTCATTTAAGATTATTGAAACTATCATCATCCCATTTATCTGTAAATTAACAAAACTTTCTTATTCATATTTTCTTTATTTGCAATTATTAGATATATGAAGCTATAATTTATGCAATTTTACTATAACATCCAACAGCTAGAATATATGCAGCACATCTGCCATTTTTTGCATTTTAATTTTAATCAAATACAAATACAATATATATAGCGACAACTAGGTAAACTCTTGCACCTCTAGAAGGTCAAGGATTTGAATCTCCTCCTCCCACCCGAAAGTTACAATATCGAACACCTTGTGACATTATCTACTTTGGGAATTCCAAAGATTTGTTTAATCGATACAAATTGTGACCCTGATCTTGGCGATATTTCATTTTTAGCGAACGATGATGCTGTAGCTTCAATCTGATTAATTCTTAACAAATTAGTATTCGCAATTTGTAAGGGTCATTCTAGCTATATAATAAATCCTTGATTAAAAATAAGATAAATAAATCACTTAACAAACTACATAGATTTATGGAATTGGTTACTATTTGTGAACCTCAAAAAAAAAAAAAAAAGAGCAAATGAAAAAGGAAGAAATGAATATTAAGAAATAGTCGCTTCTAAGTGAATTCTCCCTAGACACATCTATTTAATTAAATTATTGATTGAGCCCGAATATATGGATTGTGCTAAAGATTTAAAAACCCCATTTTCATCTACTTTTTTTTCAAAAAAACAGATGCAATAAAAAAATCCAACGGATTTAAAACTTATTTTTCAGTAAATCTATTGCAAAATGCGTTTCTAGAATGCCCAATATCCATAGGTATGGAAAAAAATTTGTAGACAACCGAACAATTGTTATTTGAGAATAGACTATTTTAATAATTTTTTGCTTTTACAAAAAGATGTGCAATGTAGAGGAAAGATGATGTGACCCAAATAAGAGGTGATGTAATCCAAATAGAATAAAAAGACAAAAAGCATACTTTTTAAGGAGGCTGCCAAACAACTTATACAATATTTGCCTTATGCAACACGTTGGGATTATTTAGGTACTATGTTTACAAAAGTAACAACCGTAAATGCACCAAAACAATTGGGAAATATTGAGAGCCAGGTATATAAGAGTAATTTAGGAGCAACTTTTAAAATTGTGAATTTTTATTTATTTTACTATTTAATAACTTATAATTAGATCTTGGTAGGCCTCGTTTGGGAACAGGTTAATTTAGTAACTTTTTGGCTATTTGGCTAAAATATGAGCTAAAAAAAACTAGTATGCTTGGGATGACTTTTTGACTTTTTATGAAAAGATGTGCAAAAAACAGAGAGAAAAGAAAATCTTTGACTTTTTGGTATGGGTTGTTGGCTTTTTGGCTAATTTAGTAATTTTTTGACTTTTTAGCTAAAAGGAAGGGTTCCCAAACGAGGCCTAACTGTTTATCACTTGACAGTTTAAAACAAACTTTTCAAGTAATAAATATTAGTTAATGGATAAAAATGGGAAAATTTATAATCCAAATCCATGCAATAACATCATTTTGAATCCATTCAATTTGAATTGGTATTTTCTCCATCACAATTATTGTGAAAGGCATCTACAAAAATGAGTGCGATAAATTAGATCATATTTTGCACTACCTCGATGTGACATTAGCGTGAAAGAGGTTTTAGAATACATTTTCTTTTTATAAGGGATAAAATCACTTCTTTTGACTTTTTTATCCCATATTGTTGGGTGGATCTCGAAAGATATAAAAGATCTCCCTCCAAGCTGTACATACGACTTTCATCAAACACGGCTTTTCACATAATCTATATGTCTCTATGAGATCAAGTATGGAATTCTGTTTACGGGAAACAACTCTCAAAGATCTTTTCTTCCTGTTGGACATAGGGTCCTCCTCTTATCTCTTCCTTCTTCGAGCTTAGGTTATGAAAGGAGAAGAAGGTATTAGCAACAACTGGTTTTATTACGAGAACTCATGATGTTCATATCGATCTATTATGCGCCAATGCATCTAGCATTGGGTAGACCTCATACAATAATTGTCCTAGTTCTACCCTATCTTTTGTTTCATTTCTTCTGGAATAATCACAAACACTTTTTTGATTTTGGCCCCCAAAAAGGTCACTAACAAAATACCGCATTTAGAAGTCCATTTATTACATAATTTGGACAAAAATAGAATTGTGCTACTCGAAACTTGGGTAGAGATGGGGATATTTTAGTATGTAAATTAACGTTCTAAATGGTGAAAGAATCATCATATGCTCCGGAAGATAGATTATTACGAGCCATACTTGGCATTCAAGTACTACATATTACTCGATCCATTTCTGTATCAATCATGATATATGACATCCATTTCAAGTGCATATCCCATTTTTGCACAGCAAGGTTATGAAAATCCACAATTGACTGGACGTATTGTATGTGCCAATTGCCATTTAGCTAATAAGCCTATGGATATTGAGGTTCCACAAGCAGTACTTCCCGATACTGTATTTGAAGCAATTGTTCGAATTCCTTATGATATGCAATCAAAACAAGTTCTTGCTAATGGTAAAAAGCATATATCCTTAACATATTGAAACGATTGCCATTATTGGTATCAAACCAATAGTGATTCATACAAGCTAAATCTTCTAATAGACAATTGGGCCAAAAAAAGAATTTGAATTTAATTAAGAGCCGTGCTACCGACCCCCAGTGGGGTGACCCCCATTGACAACCCCTAGTGAGGTGTCGCCTCTCCATTGGCTGAAAAAAATAAATAAATAAAAAAAATAACAATTTTTTTTTTTTTGCACCAATCACACGCGACCCCCAGTACCCCCACTGGGGGTCGGAGGCTTTTTCCTTTAATTAATTTATCTCTATCAAGATCTTTATTTTCATTAAAAAATCAACTCCAATTTTTTACCTTGTTCCTGTAAAAACAACATTGCCAGAAATTGACAAGGTAAGATTTCCATTTATTCATCAAAAGAGACATACCTTTTGAATTTCCTTGACACCTTACATAATGAATAAAAGGATTCTTGAACAACCACAAATTACCTGAAAATCCTTAAGTCCTCTAATTGAGATATGAATACACACTAAATTGCACAAAAAAAGTTGTTTTGCATCGATCCAAAGCCCTAAAAGACATTTTAAAAAGATTAAAAAGGTTCATTGAGCGCCTCATGACTATGTCATAATAGATTCAAACACTCTTTTTCAAGAACAAAGAAGAGAGAAAGGACTTAAATCATAATCCAATGGATTTGATTATTTTATAGGCTCAATTGCCATTGTAATTCTATAGATAAATAGAACTTCAAAACATTTTTTCTTGAGCCATACGAGGAGAAAACTTCCTATACATTTCTCGGGGAGGTAGCACTCATCTACATCTATCCCAATGAGCCATTTATCAAATCGTTGCACTTGATTGGAAATGGAAAAAAAAAATCGATCTACTTTCATGCTGGTATTTTGGCCTGACTCCTCGATACTCAATCAAATACCCTTTTTTGACAAATGAATGCACTTCTATGGTTCCATATTTAGTAATTCCCGAATCCTATTTTCGATAGACGCAGTTGACAATAAAATATGATTTTTCCCATCATTTTCATATCTGTAATATTGCGAAAAAAGCCCAACTCCAAGTTGATCAAGAATAGTGCCTAGTTTCTCAACCCTTCTGACTTAGGATTAGTCTGTTCTATTTCTCAACGGAGGCATAATAAAAGACATTCTTGTGATACGCCCTGTTCCTGGTCAGAAATATAGTGAAATCACATTTCCTGTTCTTTCCCCAAACCCTGCTACTAAGAAAGATGTTCACTTCTTAAAAGGCAGAAATAGCATTCCAAATCAATTACATTGATGAAAATTTTACGAATGAGACATGCTAAAAATGACTCACTTTAGAGTGTGCTGCAGTTTCTCATTTGCCAAAAATACAATGTAATCAGTGACACATGGTAATATCTAATCATCTTTTGAAAGGCAATTGAACAAAAACATGTCTCTTCAAATTCAAATCCCTTTAACAGCTCTAATTAAGAGAGAGAGAGAGAGCGAGAGAGAGAGAGTGAAAATTATCATCGCATTCTATCAAAGAAAAGTGAGACGGAAAAAAGAAGAGAAACAAGAAGATCCAGCTGAGGTGAGCTTAAACACAGGACTAAAGAGGAGCAGTAGATCGCTTCTTTGAACCGTCTTGTTTCTTATCAGCAGCTGCATCTGCAGCCTTTCTCTTGTCCTTCCTCTCCCTCTTCTTCAAAGCAGTCATCCGAGCCTTGAGAATTGTTGCATAAGAAGCTTGAAACCGTTGGTGATCCTTTTGCCCCACCTTTTTATATATTACAATAAAATTAAGCCATGAATGGAAGTCTATAAAATAAAAAATTAAAAAAACTAGGCAAGTTCCATGGGTAAACATCCAAAAAACCTGTTTGCAAGTCTTATAAAAAATGCTAAACTTTTATTTTTATTCAACCTCCTTGGGTAAGCTGCTTCAAGATACAAACTGACAGCCAATAGACATTCTAAACTAAAACTAGAAACAGAAAAATGGAAGGAGTAATGCTGTTATAAGGCAGGAAAAGTAATGAAACATCATAATTCTTCAATGATCTTAGAAAAATATATATATAAAATAAAAATCAATAAATAAAAAAGAAACCAACATCAACATGGACTGGAAAGACTTCATATGTACATATAACACAACAATTAGACAGCAAGAGTTTAAAGATTTTATGTACAGGGTAGAAAGGAGAGTTCACGCTTACCATGCCCAGACCTCACACGTCAAGAACCTAACCATCTTAACATGCAAATTTAAAACTAAAACATAATACTAGAAAATCTGAGTGCCACTATTTTGAAGTTCTGATAATGACCGGATTTTTGGAGTTGGTGGGGTGCTCAGATTGGGCGCCGGCGGGTGTGGTCATTGGCACCTTTATGTTTGATGTGGCTTGTTTGGTTGAAGCGGAATAGGCAAATCTTCCCAGAGGTTTCTCATGGTGTTTCTTGGTTAGAGAGTCGTCTTTTGGTAGTTTTGTATAGTTCGATAGAGGAAGGTTGATCCGGATATGTTTGCATTTTTGAATTTTTTGGATGGCGTGACTGGTTAGAGCTTTTTTTTCCATTCTTTGGGGATGCCTTTTTGTATTCTTTGCATTATTTTGATGCGTTCTTAATAAAATTAGTTTATTTATCAAAAATAAAATAAAATAAAATATTCATCTCAAATCGGTCTATTTTTAAAATCATACTTGTGATATCCTCCATTTATTTGTAGACAAATGTAATGAAATTATATGGTCATAATTCATAGGACCTGGACTGCAAGATCCATTCTCTTCTCCCAACTAGAGAGAAGCTGAACTCTTAAAGAAAACATTCTTCATAAACACAATATTTTATGAGTACGAAGACAATTTTTTTTTTTTTTTTTGTTTTACTCGAGTCCAGACATTGAATACAACTTCAGCTCTTTTCAATACACCTTAAACAAGAGGATGAATTCCATCTATAAAATAAGGAGGGCATCCAGATCATGAGCAAATTAACAAGAATAAATCTATTTATGGGGACCAACTACCATAAAGTAACACTAATGGTAGCTTTTCAAAAGTGATCTGAAGGCTACACTGAAGAATTACATCAAAATACAAAAAATATGGGGACCAACTACCATAAGGTGCCACTAATCTACTATACTAACCAGCCTATTGGCCCCTGCTACTGTACCCAGAATGTACAGTAAAAAACACCCGATCTAGGGTCTGTTTGGTCCTATTTTCAAGTTGGTTCAGTAAGCACCTATATTACCAGAAAATGCTAATACTCTAGTGAATTACGTATTGGTACGTTCCGAAACATGGTACACTTTCATTCCAAAACGGTAAATTTAGTGACCCGAAGTGATCTCAAAAGTTCTTTCCAATATATTTCTTTAAATGTTACCTTAGGAGAAAAAAAATCAAATATATGAACTAAAATCTAAGGTGAGTTAAGTTTTGATAAGACAAAAATATAAAAAATGGGTCATAATTTTCATAGAAATGATTTGCCACATGAAAATATATATATTGGATACCTAATAGTTAAAAAAAAATTATTCTAGAAATGCCTTAAATTCTTAAGTGTACTGTAAAAATAGATGTATTATTAATTGATATTTGTTGTGTTTACAATGAGTCATATATATAAAAGATTAGAGGAGGTAGGTATGTAGTAGGTGGAGTAGTAGGTGGAGTAGGTGGTAGTAGGTGGAGTAGGTGAAGTGGGTGGAGTAGGTGTAGTAGGTGGTAGTGGTAGTGGTAGGTTTTAACAGCCCCCCGCAAACTCAAGGGGATAGGAACTAACCAATCTTGAGTTTGGAGAGAGTAACAAAACAAGAAAATACATAAAAATAAAAGAGGATAAGAGACACTGTATGTTCGTGTCAGACCATTGGTGAAGACACTGCATGGTGGTGTCATAACGTTGTAGAGGACACTGTATGGTTGTGGCAGACCGTTGTAGCAGATAAAGTCTGGACAGTTGACGAGGTCATGTCAGACCGATGGAAAAGCTAACCGGAATCAAATGTCGGGACAGTTTACAAAGTCTTGTCGGACCCCTAAAAAGTCGCACCCTCAAAAGGTGTGTCCAATCTTTCAAAAGGCGTGCCATCAAAAGGCGTGCCCAATCCATAAAAAGGCGTGCCATCAAAAGGCGCGCCCAATCCATAAAAATGTGTGCCGGACATTATGGCGAGCGCTGACTACCTGGCTTGGCGCGCCCGTTTTGTCGTTGGTGTCAAGTGGGCGCGCGAGGCCGTATCTGCCTGGCTATTAAACCAAGGTTAGGCGGAGGTGTGCAAACCAGTCTGAAAACCGCTGAACATTGGATTCTGAAACACTCTGTAAACATCTGTAACCAACCCGTCTCTGAAACACTCAGCAACCCATAACATGGCCTCTTCTTCCCGTCCAGCTATCCAGAACATGGCTCTCTTCCCGTGGTCTGCTCACACTCTTTCCAGACCTGAACGAGTTCACAAGAGAAATAACTGGTGCGTGGCCTTGAACCGCAACCAAGCGCCTCTGGTTTTGTGCCGTTTGAACTTTCCTATGCGGTCTGTGGAGCAAAAAATGGCAGTGCAAACGGATATTAAAGCCAATCAGTATACATTTGAATCTGTGTGAAAACCATGACGGCGGTCCACAAACTTGTCGCACCCGCTTCAGAGTAGGACAAATGAGGCTGGCAGTTAAACGCCAACTGCTGCTGCTCCAACGCAAGTATAAGGATGCCGCGAGCAGAGATGTGTGCTAAAGGCGGAAAATAAGGAGCTAAGCGAGAAGGCCACCGTGATTGTTCCGATTTGGAGGGCCGCCATATGCTGCAGTGGAAGAGCAGTGGATAGTTGATCGTGCCCAGTGGAGTGGGAAACACGTGGAGGGCACACAGCCGGAAGGACGCCCAGCAGAGGACTAGAAGAAAGACCTGCGGAAGTAGGAAGAAAATTCCGCTGGTTGGATGTGGTTGTTGGTTGTTGGTGTTTTTTTTTTTTTTTTTTTTGTGATCGGGGTGGATCCCCAGGATGAAGATGAATGACAAGTTGTGGAATGTTGTTGCGTGTTATTTTTGTGTTTGTTGTGTTGTTTAATAATAAAAATAAAAGAAAATAAAAATAGCTAAAAAAAATATTTTTATGGTTATTTAGAGAAGAGATAATTATTATAAGAGTGGATATTTGAAAGAGAGGAAAAGTGGTTTGGAGAAAATAAATAAAAATAATTGATTTTGAAATCAAACGGGAAGAGATTGGGGAAATAAGGAAAGTGGTTCACGTGTTTTTTTTTTTTTTTTTTTTTTTTTTTTTTTGAATGAAAAGAGAAGATAAAATAAAATATAAAGGTAATTCGTTGCCGTCCTAGGGCCCTCGGGTGTCGTCCACCTGTAGTGCGTTTTATGTAGTGATACCAGCTTTGTCTGGTACTCATTACTTGTGAGCATATACAACTCCAAATAAAATACAATAAAGGAAAGAGAGGGGACAAACCCATGTGCTCTGCTTCACCGTCTCCCAAACAAAGAGATGACAAAGAGGGAAAAGACTTGCAACGCACACTAGCGCCAGGCGCCGATTCTTTTTCTTCTGGTTCCGTTTCATGAATTCTGCTCTCTCTAGTCTCTCTTCTCTCCCTCTCTCTACAATTCAGTTGGGGAGGAGAAGACTGTGTTGAGAGTAGTTTAATATGGACGTGATGGTGTAAGAGTCAACACCACTCGTTCAACTCACCCCCTCAGATAGACAAAAGTGTTGGTATAGGTGCAGCAAGGTGGCCTGCCCTTCCAAGGACTGCACCAACCGTGCAGACAATGTTACATTGACTCCTCCAGCAAGTCAAAGGCAAGCTCAGGAAGGTGGATGGTAGTACTTCCTCAAGCTCGGCCGTACGCATGGTCACAGTTGGATTTGAAGCTGGAGAAATGAACTCCAACCCGCTGGAAATTGAGACACGCAGCTTGTACAACCAAAAATCGGAGTATATACTGCAACCACTTGAATGTGCCTGGACAACTGAGATTTTCAGTCCGATGCGCTGGTTATGGCTGACTACAATATAGTTTAATATTTAGTGATGGTGTGTGCAAGATGACAGCGGCAAATAGGTTGAGGTCCGGCGGGCGGCTAAGGTGAGGTTGCCGCCCGCCGGGGAAGCGAAAATACTAGGTTCTAAACCTGCTCTGATACCATGTAAAAATAGATGTATTATTAATTGATATTTGTTGTGTTTACAATGAGTCCTATATATAGAAGATTAGAGGAGGTAGGTATGTAGTAGGTGGAGTAGGTGGTAGTAGGTGGAGTAGGTGAAGTGGGTGGAGTAGGTGTAGTAGGTGGTAGTGGTAGTGGTAGGTTTTAACATGTACTATATATATATAAGTCAAGTCTACTCCTATCGTACCATATTTTAGAGCATGTGGCATACTACTTTCCCGTTCCCATTCCATGTACCGGAATGATCCGAGTTCTAGGTAACATAGGTATGCACTATGTCTAATATACCAATGAAATACCCAGAAGCCTTAGAAGTTAACTGTCAAAAAAAAAAAAAAACAGAAGCCTTAGTACTGGAGTGAAAATCAATACCTTGATGCCAAATTTCTTTTGGGCCAACTGTCATAACTTTAAAATGCAATAAACTCACTTGATATACCTTTGCACCCTGAAGGTGTGTCCCCCAAATCGTATATGCCACTCTCTCATCAAATTGTCATCTAACTTTCATTTGGACAAATGCTCCTATGAAAATCTAAATCAATCTGAAATTGCAGGAAACAGTG